TTCCAAAGACACTTTTACTCCCAGTTCCTTCGTGTGAGTAATTCAAGCTACTTTATTTGTCAGAAGTCACACAACACCAAAGTATAGTCCAGTGATGTCACCTGGTGTCCTGTGACTTCTGACCTTGTCCACCCCCATCCAACACTGGCCCCTCCTCGTATTGTTTTTGTGTAGTCCCTTGAACGGGTGGAATACTTGAGTCTAGAAGCTTTGAACTAGACACACCACATATAGGGATGAGGCTTGAACTGTCAGGTGAAAAGATTCTTGGAGCTTGAGGATTATAATTTTTTTCTTTTTTTTTTAAAAACAGGATGTTGTAAGAGAAGTTGAGAATTCAAAGACGGATGTCAGAGACAAACCCCTAAAAGATGTAATCATTGCAGATTGTGGCAAAATTGAGGTGGAGAAACCCTATGCCATTGCCAAAGAGTGAGCTATCTCCCTCCCCCTGTCTGGGAGCTACAGACACTTGGCTTCCTGCCCAGAGTGCTTTCAGCTCCAGTGACCCAGCTAGGAGAATCCGGTTTACCAGTATCCTGTTCCTGGACTTCCAGGCTGTGGAGATATCCAAACATTCCAGACTCCCTGGTTCTTATTGGCTTTGTAAAAAGTACACAGCATTAATAAACATCATTGGTTTTCTAATGTTTTGTTATGTAGTGTCCTATATATAAAGTGAGCACACCACTTGTGACTGCATTCTGTAAAAGATGAAGCCAGGTTCAGTTTCTGATAACTGATTGTGCTGTGTGCGTGCTGGACCTGTGTTCCTGTATGGGAACACAGTAAATAAGCAACTGGAGAAAGTCCATTCCTTGCAATAGGAACCTCATTCCAGTAGGTGAGTGGTATTGTTCTGCAGCAGAACCTGGGAAACAAGGGTGAGGAAAGTGTAGTAACATCATCTGAAAAAATACATGATTTTTAACAGTTTGAAGGTTCCTCAGTTGTGTGTACTAACAGTTAAAGGAAAAAAAAAACTACAGGGAATGGCTTGGAGTAAAAGCTACCTCTTCACTGGGGAAAAACAGCCACGACAGGGACAGTGCAGGATTAAATATACAATAAGTGAGTCAAGCAAGACTCACTTTTACAAACTTCTATTTGATAAAGAGCTTCCCCCTGCACTGTTTCAAGGGTGCTTTTAACTTGAAAATAAACTGTTCCCAGCAAACATTCACAAGTCTAGGACAATACAAGGTTACAAACGTGTCTCGAAGCAGAAACCATATTTTCATACGTGGAGGATACCCGAGTGGATTGGTCAACCAAGTTCATGTGCCCCCTGCAGGAAGTCAGATGAAAATCAGCTCATTTCAAAATTGATACGAGGTGCACAACCCATCGCATTATTAACCAGTCACCAAACTCCAGAAATTGTGGGACAATTAACCCTCAATGTTACAGAAAGAAAGTGATGAATTTAATAGCATTCTCCAAAAGGGAAAGTTTCTCACACACAATTAATTTCACAACAATTGTAGAAAACCATCAGACAATACTTTCAGGTCCAGCAATATGCAGTTTCATCATTCCTGGAGAGCCCACTCCATTGAGGATTTCAGAGTCAGGATCAGTGAGGTACAACCCTTGAAGAACACCCATCACAATCACATTCGGGAGAAGACCTGGAAAAGCAAGGAGAAACCATCACTAGTATCACATCCATTCCTAATTTCAGAATTCAGACAGCTACATTGTGAGAGAGAGAGAGGACAGCAGGCCAGCATGAGAAGGACAAGAGCAGCAGCTCCTTGCCCCTCAGGATGAAAGTGTAACAGGAAAACAAGTGGGGACTTCCTCCATGTCCCTTTCAAATGGCTATGTAATAAGATGGATTCTGAGAGTAAACTAGCTCAGAATGTATAGACAGCAAATGTTTCTACAAAGATAAAACGGCCAAGGCATTGAATAGGCATTTTGTGTTGGTCTTTACAATGGAAGACACAAATAACATGCTAATAATTAATGACAAGGAGGGCACAGCAGGTGAGGACCTAGAAGCGATCATTATCACTGAGAGGTAGTGTTGGGCAGGCTAATGGAGCTAAAGGTAGACAACTCTCCTGGCCCTGATGGAACGCAGCCCAGGATACTAAAAGAGACGTTGGGTGAAATAACAATTGTGCTCGTGGTAATTTACCAAAATTCATTGGACTCTGGGGTGGTTCCGTTAGATTGGAAAACAGCAAATGTGACACCACTGTTGAAAAAAATAAGTAGACAAAAGGCAGGTAACTATGGGCCTGTTAGCTGAACTTCTGTAAGGGAAAATGCTTGAATCTATCATCAAGTAAGAAATAGCAAAACATCTGGATAGAAATTGTCCCAACAGGCAGATGCAGAATGGTTTCGCGAAAGGCAGGTCATATTTAACTGTTTACTAGAATTCTTTAAGAAAATTATGAGCATGGTGGACAACGGGGAGCCAGTGGATGTGGTGTATCTGGATTTCCAGAAGGCACTCGACAAGGTGCCGCACAAAAGGCTGCTGCATAAGATAAAGGTGTACAGCATTACGGATAATGTATTAGAATGGATAGAAGATTGGTTAACTTATAGAAAGCAAAGAGTGGTTTTTCTGGTTGAAGATCAGTGATTAGTAGTGTGCCTCAGGGATCAGTGTTGGGACTGCAATTGTTTACAATTTACGTAGATGATTTAGAGTTGTCAAAGTTCACAGATGACACTAAAATGAGTGGTAAAGCAAAGTGTGCAGAGGTCAAAATCTGCAGACGGATATTGATAGATTACGTGAGTGGGCAGGGGTCTGGCAGCTAGAATACAATGTTGGTAAATGTGAAGTCAGCCATTTTGGTCAGAATAACAGCAAAACGGACTATTATTTGAATGGTGAAAAATTGCAGCCTGCTGCTGTGCAGAGAAATCTAGGTGTCCTTGTGCGTGAATCACAGAAGGTTGGTTTGCAGGTACAGCAAGTTAATTAAGAAGGTCAATGGAATATTGTCATTCATTGCTAGGGGGATGGAGTTTAAAAGCAGGGAGGTTATGCTGCAGCTGTATAGGGCGCTGATAAAGCCACACCTAGAGTACTGTGTACAGTTTTGGTCTCTCCTTACTTGAGAAAGGATGTACTGGCACTGGAGGGGGTTCAGAGGAGGTTCACTAGGTTGATTCTGGAGTTGAGAGGACTGGCTTATGAGGAGAGATTGAGTAGACTGGGACTATACTATTGGAATTTAGAAGAATGAGGGGGGAGGTTGGGATCTTACAGAAACATAAAATTTTGAAAGGAATAGAGAAGATAGAAGCAGGGAGGTTGTTTCCAGTGGCAGGTGAAACTAGAACTAGGAGGCATTGCCTCAAAATAAGGGGAAACAGATTTAGGACTGAGTTGAGGAGGAACTTCTTCACCCAAAGGGTTGTGAATCTGTGGAATTCCCTGCCCAGTGAAGCAGTTGAGGCTTCCTCATTGAATGTTTTTAAGGCAAAGATAGGCAGATTTTTGTACAGTAACGGAATTAAGGGTTATGGTCAGCAGGCTGGTAAGGGGAGCTGAGTCCACAAAAAGATCAGCCACAATCTTACTGAATGGCAGAGCAGGCTCAACAGGCCAGATGGCCTACTCCTGCTGCTGGTTCTTATGAGGCAGGTACAGGCTTCCGAATATAGCTTTGGAGAAGCCTCTGCCCATGCCCATGCCCATTATGTACAAGGTTCTTGCTCCTGGAAGGACAAGCAAAAAGACCAAAGCGCCACAGTCCAGAACACCACCAAGATGGGGGAAGGAAAAAAAGATACAGTAATAACAGGAGACTGTATGGTTCTCTACTGTAAGGACAGACCATAGAACATTGAACATTACAGCGCAGTACAGGCCCTTCGGCCCTCGATGTTGCGCCGACCTGTGAAACCAATCTGAAGCCCATTTAACCTAAACTATTCCATTATCATCCATATCTTTATCCAATGACCATTTAAATGCCCTTAAAGTTGGCGAGTCTACTACTTTTGCAGGCAGGGCATTCCACGCCCTTACTACTCTCTGAGTAAAGAACCTACCTCTGACATCTGTCCTATATCTATCACCCGTCAATTTAAAGCTATATCCCCTCGTGCTAGCCATCACCATCAGAGGAAAAAGGCTCCCACTGTCCACCCTATCTAATCCTCTGATCATCTTGTATGTCTCTATTAAGTCACCTCTTAACCTTCTTCTCTCTAACGAAAACAGCCTCAAGTCCCTCAGCCTTTCCTCATAAAACCTTCCCTCCATACCAGGCAACATCCTGGTAAATCTCCTCTGCACCCTTTCCAATGCTTCCACATCCTTCCTATAATGCGGTGACCAGAACTGTACGTAGTACTCCAAGTGCGGCCGCACCAGAGTTTTGTACAGCTGCAACATGACCTCATGGCTCCGAAACTCAATCTCTCTACCAATAAAACCTAACATATCAAATGCCTTCTTAACAACGCTATCAACTTGGGTGGCAACTTTCAGTGATCTATGCACATGGACACCGAGATCGCTCTGCTCATCCACACTACCAAGAATCTTACCATTAGCCCAGTACACTGTATTCCTGTTACTCCTTCCAAAGTGAATCACCTCACACTTTTCCGCATTAAATTCCATTTGCCACCTCTCAGCCCAGCTCTGCAGCTTATCTATGTCCCTCTGTAACCTGCAACATCCTTCCGCACTATCCACAACTCCACCGACTTTGGTATCATCCGCAAATTTACTAACCCATCCTTCTACGCCCTCATCCAGGTCATTTATAAAAATGACAAACAGCAGTGGCCCCAAAACAGAAGGCTGCATTGCCCACCGAGTACCAAGGTTCAGGATATCTCTCCCAAGATAAGAAACTTGGAATAAGAGGGGACGGATCCAAATGTCATGGTCTATGTTGATACTAATAACATAGTTAGGACTAGGAAAAGAGAGGGATTGAGTCTAGCTCAGGGCTACGTTAAAAAGCAGAACCACAAAAGTGAATCTCAGGATTACTACCTGAGCCACATGCAAATTGGTGTGGGAGAACCAGGTTCTGTATCACATGGTACTGGCACTTGTACTGGGCAAAGAGGAAGAGTTTCATCTGAACCTCACTGAAACCAGTGTCCTGGTGAATCATGTCCCATGGGTTGTAGGAATGGCTTTAAATTAAATGGTGATGGGAGAGTTCAATTAAAAGGAAGTTTAAAAATCAACAAGAAACAAGAGACAAAACATGAATCAGGAAATAATGGAGGTATGTAAGAAGGGCACTCAAATTATCCTGGGTGATTTTAATCTGCATTGACCTGACAAACCAATCGGGCAAGAATAACATGGAAGAAAAGAATTGTAAGGTGTATTGAGGATTGTTTCTTAGAGCAGAATGTTGCATAACCTCCCTGGCAAGAGGCTACTTTAGATCTAGTGATGTGTAATGAGGTAGATTAAAAGAGATCTCATAGTTAAGAATCCTGTAGGGGCTAGTGAGCACAATGCAATAGAATTTCAAATTCAGTTTGAGGAACAGAATCATGGATGCTAAGGAAATAAGGGAAACAAGAGGGGATATTTTGGACTGCTTACATATTGGCAGAGAGGAGGTGTTTGCAGCCTTAGATCGCATTAAAGGTGGATAAATCCCCTGGGCCTGATCAAGTCCTTGGACATTGTGGGAGGCTAGGGAAGGAATTGCAGAGGCCCTTGCAGAGATTTTTGCTTCATTTTTAGACACCGGTGAAATTCTGGAAGACTAGAGGGTGGCTAATGTTGTTCCATTGTTTAAGAAAGGTAGCAAAGACAAGGCAGGGAACTACAGGCCAGTGAGCCTGACATCAGTGGTAGGCAAGTTATTGGAGAGGATACTGAGGGACAGGATCAACCAACATTTGGATAGTCAAGATCTGATTAGGGATACTCAGCATGGATTTGTGCACAGGAAGTCATGTCTGACAAATCTTTTAGAGTTTTTCAAAGGGGTAACCAAGAGGATAGATGAGGGTAGAGCAGTGGATGTCGTCTTTATGGACTTTCATAAGGCCTTTGACAAGGTCCTGCATGGCATGAAGGTTGGGTTGCATGGGATCCAGGGAGAGCTAGCTAATTGGATTCAAAATTGGCTCTGATAGGAAGCAGAGGGTGACAGTTGAAGGTTGTTTCTTGGTCTGGAGGCCTGTGACTGGTGGTGTGCCACAGGGGTCAGTGCTGGGACCTTTGTTATTTACATAAATGATCTGGATGTGAATGTACAAGGCATGATTAGTAAGTTTGCGGATGATACAAAATTAGGAGGTATCATCAATAGCGAGGAAGGTTATCAAAAATTACACAGGGATCTTGATCAGGTGGGGAAGTAGGCGGAGGATTGGCAAATGCAATTCAATACAGATAAGTGTGAGGTGTTGCACTTTGGAAAGTCAAACCAAGCTTGGACTTATACAGTAAATAGTAAGGTCCTGAGGAGTGTTGTGGAACAGAGGGACCTAGGAATACAAGTACTTAGTTCAATGAAAGCGGCATCACAGGCAGACAGGGTGGTAAAGAAGGCTTTTAACATGCTGGCCCTCATCGGTCCAGGAGCTGGGGATGTTATGTTACTGTTGAATAAGTAGTTGGCGAGGCTGCAGTTGGAGTATTGTGTCGAGTTTTGGTCGCCCTGTAATA